CAACAAAATTCTGACAAGTGTCTTCATGGAAAACACTGTTTTCTAACAAGCATTGCACACAGTGGATTTATATAATTTGTAACTGAAACTGAATGTGCTGGCACTGTATCGTAATCAGCACAGTGAAAACTGGAGCAGCAGTAAAGCATGGTTGCAACTAGCTACGATGACAGTGAGGTCCGGACTTCAGTAGTTTTAGAGTTTCAGAGGGGTTTTTCATGTATCTACACACATGATTTTTGATGTGGAAACAGCGCCATTCTGATAATGCGGTAGCGACTCGGGCGCAGCCCTTACAGGTCAACCCAATCAAACAGGGAGAGAATATCTATTAAGCCACACTTTTATACATACATACATACGCACACACACGTTTTTTCAGTTTAAAATGAATGTGTCAATAAACAGTTAAATTAAAAATTAAACAAAATTAAACAATAGTGAGTTTATACTAATAGCAGTTTATAGAAGACAGGAACAACATTATACTGATGAAGATATGATGACAACTGAAGATCCTTCACTTATATCCTCGGAAAACATCAAGTTTTGACTGAATTCTCTTTTGATACTCCTTCAACGTGCTTGCAAACACTAGATTCAAGAGCACAACCAACATTAACAATGTTCTTCCGGAAATTTCAAGCAATTACGCATTTCCACCAGAGAAGTCTCTAAATCCCCAAATGTTACCTTGTGCAGCTTTAAAGAGTCAGATTCATTATGCTCCGGGTCTGTCACCAACTGACAATGCCCACTGGCAATTCTCGACCTGCCTAATCAGTCATAACGAGTCAATTAAGGCCTAACGAGTGAATTCACAACTGGAAAGATGTAAAAACTTTTGTACATATCACAATCAATATTTTCATTTTTTTTATTGTTAAGTTGATGTAATTAGGGATGCCCAAACTTTTGCATATAACTGCAACTACATTGTCATCATGTCAAAAATGCTAGCCCTGAGTGCCAAACCATGCAAATAAATTAACACTGTCCCTGCTAAACCTCTATGCCTTCACATGCCAAGGTGAACCGAGAACGGAAGGCAGTGAAAAAAATACTGGTTAGAACATGCAAGTAAATGCACACGCTTCGCAGAGCCAGCGTCTGTGCTGTATGTGCTCCTTTCTTAGTAGATTAATACGTTGTTTTTAAGGCGGTAAATTATTTGGCATCAGTCAGTCGGGCTGACATGCAGCCAGAGGGCTGAAAGCTCAGAGAGGCAGCTACAGGCCAAGTGCACACATTCCTCCGGTAAACTGCAAAAACAAGGGGAAGAGGATGTGTTCTGAGTGTGTTCACTTTTTCTGCTCCTTCCTGGTTCTGCGCTGCTAGGACAGCCTCCACTGAACCCTCCAGCTGCTTTCAGGAGCAAGCGAAGCCATCTTTGGACAGTTTCTCTCTTTCTGACGCTGGCTGTAATTATTTTAAAATATGCAGGAACGCATGATCAACAAAGCAAACGTCAATGGCTCTTAAAGGTACAGGCAGTACTGGGAATAGACTTTCTGGAGCCTTCACACTGCATAAAGCTATCTTTGATTTGTTTGGGCCAAACAGACTTTTTGCAATAATAAAGCCTTTATGACAGTGTGCAAATTTGCTCAGCACTTCTGAAAAATATTCTGGATTGCATCCTGTACAAACATCCTCTTTGATCACATTCACAAGTGTATACTTTTGATATGGAAACAAATGCAAAGAACCACATTTATACACACAAAGTAATTCCTTAAGCTGCCAGCATTAAAAGACTGTATTAAATGTAGAACAATTAAATTTCCAAATGCCTCATTCTTCAGACTTACTTTCATACCTTTTATCTCGAGTGGTTAAGTGAGAATGACAACACTCCTTGTCAGCAGTGTCCTACAGCTATTAGAATGGGCCTCCTAAGCTCCATTCTCTTTAAACCTCACTCTGCCTAGCTCCTGCAATAGAGCAGAATCTCTCCTGGCCAAGCAGGACACCGACCCATCCAATTAATATGTTTATATACAAAGCTGTCTAGTTTTATTTCTTATTAAATTAATAGCATGAAAAGTACCTACTTACAGCAGCTATTTATACATTATGAAAACACATTCATGGTGAAGATCAGGGGAAATTGTCATCAAACAATCAACACTATGAAAACGTTCGTGGCTGCAGAAATTCAGGAAAAAAGCAGGGATGCACCGATACAGCAATTCCGGGCCGATGCCCATATCCAATATTTTTCATGTATATATCTGCTGATGCTGATACAATTACATATATTCTACATTCATAAAACACAGAAATTGGGACTACTTCTACCTGGATTCTCATTACAGAGAAATATAATATTTATTTATATCAGATTGCAAATGTAATAAAATTAATAAAGTGCAGACAGAGGTAACGCTACATAAGCACTGAATAACATTTAAAAAGTAGTATGTGATATTTATGAATGGCTTATATAGATATTTTAAACATCAAATAACTTTTTATTGACATAATGGCCCTTAAAACTAAAGTGACAAGTCATTAGTTCAACTTATGTTATGAAGTTTTTAGGCCTCTGCCTTGTAAGTTTCAAGTATCAGAAATTTAAACATCTGCCAATGTTCTGTTTTAAATCAATTATCTGCTGATGCCAATGATTCTGATATCAACATGCCTTACTAAAAACATCTACATAAAGGATTTCCTCACAAATTTCTTCTGATCGCTTTAACAGAACCTACTGATAGTTTTACCAGAAAGCATTCCAAACTTTTACATTACATCAGATTCCATTACACAACATAGAAAACACCTCCTGCTCTTGGCACAGGTCAGCAAAATGGACTAACGTGCAGAAGCTGAGTATGAACCGCTCAGATGTACGTTGCCTGCAGGGGCCGGTACAGGCTGCGTGTTTAGCGTACTGGGCTGTGCTACGTGATGCTGTGGCGGGGCCTTTGGTGATTGGTTCTCACGGAGCCAGGGTCTAATGCAACTCCGCTGTGGAGTGAAGGCAGAGACCCAGGGGAGCCCTCCAGCACTCCTGTTAATGGAGGGCATGGAACATCACCCATCCGCTCCCAAGGCACAGCTCACTACAGGGATTCTGACACTACCCATTGGAAGAGATGCGACGGGCAACACAGGCCTCCCCAGGCACTCTCAGGGTGCTTCAGCATCACCGTGACCTGTCCGGAGCAATCTCATACTCATCCTGAACGAGTCACAAGTTCAGACATGGATCTAGTGGTCAGTCGACAGGGAGAAATACATTGACTATGGATGAAAGTTGTCATGACTGTATAAATCCTGGGTGTCACAAACTTTGCACTTAAGAAAAGGGATGTCCAATTCTGGTTCAGGGCCCAGTTTGATGCTTTCCCTGCTCAAACAGGTCTAGGTGCTTGGTCAGAGCTGGGAAATCACCAAACTGTGCTCGACTGTGGCCTGGGCTGAGTTTGTAGGATACTCATAATTTGGCCTGCAGGACTGCCAGAAGATTTGAAGCTTAATATAAAAGCATGTCCACCAGAGATTATGGAGCAGTTTACTGGCAAGACCATGCAGGACCTCCTAAGTTGTTATGAGGTTATGATTGGTGTTACCATGGCAGGACATACCGGCAAAACTCCAGCTCACGCAGCCCTCCCTTTGATCATGCTCACTCTTGGCTTTGACACTTTATGCCAATCTGTTTTCTTGGCTAGGCTACATTAGATGCCACCTGAGAGATTACATGCCGAACAGTCGAGACGCCATCAGCATGTTTTCATAACCAGCCATGTTGCAATCTGAGCCACAGCATCGCACAGCACGTCCCCTGACCAAGCCTCTGTGCAGAGCAGGACTGGGCCATAAAAACAGAAGCAAAACAACCAGCAGGCCTCTCTGCCGCTCTCCCTCTCTCCTCACTCTCTCAGTCACGGATCTGCACAGAAAATCTGAGTTTGAGTTCTACCACAAATCTCTTGAGTTATTCCCGCAAATAATTCATCTCTTTTGTTCTCCACTCCAAGCAAACCCACGTGGCTGCAGCTCTTCTCAAGTTCACAGCCCCTGTGTGATTTGCGTGGAGTTAACGTGCTCCAGCTCAACAGGTGGACACAAATTTACTCTGAAGTCGTAACGCTCTCAGATACAACAGCAGCCGCACTGACCGAGACATCGCGGAGTGTGTTAAGAGGCATCCTGGCGAGGAAAAGGCACACTTGTGACTCGACGCTGACGTCCCTTCTGTAAAATATACTGTCTGACGCGCAAGCTGAGTTGCATAGCAGACATTCCAGCGAAAAACCAACAAGCCTCGGCGGAAAGACTGGGGCTGGCACCGCGTCCAAAAACAGCACGGAATCCGTTAGCAATACCCCAAAGAAATGGAAAACCGACATGCTGCAAACACATTAACTAGCCTGCTCGCTCCATCTCCCCTCCTCTCTCTCTCTCTCTCTCTCAGCGTCGCTTACTGTAAACGCGTGGAGGCCAAACGGGTAAGACAGAAAAGCTATACTCTTCCTCAGCAATGAGGGTAAGTTCGAGTCAGCGTGACGCGGCTGATAATAACGACTCGCTGATTATCTAGTGCTACTGCTGGCTTCATTTACAGCTTCAGGCTAAAATTAACAGTCGTAATTCACAGTTTATTCCTGTTTCCCCCTTCAGGAACCTCTCCCAGACTGCAAGTCTATCAAGCCAAGTCTTCAAGTGCAAATACCTTGTTTTCGTAGTACAAAACGTCTTAATTACTTCGCCCTGCTTCTTTACAGAGAAGTCGCATAAATTTCATTTTGTAGACTTTACATGTTAAATATGTGACTTTTCTGTAAGGGTTATTTATGTACAGTTGCACAAAACTCAACTTTCTCCTCTGGTGGTCTCGGAATACCCCTTCTCTACATATTTAGGTGTTTTCCTCTGCTCTAATACAACTAAATCAGCTCAAACAGTCCTTCCTGAGTTGAAGTAAGAAGGGAAAAAGGACTGAAAAACACTGTTTTGTACAGCCTTGGCAGGCAGGTAGGCACACGCACCTTCGCAAACTCCGACCTCGTACTGGGTGATGGAGGCGCCGTCGAGCGGCGGGCGGATGACGCAGCGCAGCCCCGCGTCGCACGTCCCGTACAGCCCGTACACGCCGCCGCAGCTCTCGTTCTTCTGCTTGGCGCACACGGAGCAGCAGCCGCAGATGCCCAGCACTACGGCGCCCGTGCACTGCTTGGGCTCCTCGCACTTGGACTCGTCGCAGGGCAGACACAGGAGCGCCGCGCCGCCGCGCAGCACCAGCACCGCCAGCTGCGAGACCAGCACGCATTTCACCAAGCGGTGCATCCTGGAAAAAGAGGCCGTGAAGAGAGTGCAAAGAGGTGGAGGAAAGTAGCCGAAAATATATGTTCAAACGTATATCCAAACCCACCACCGCCCCCAACCTCCAAGTTCTCCCTCTAGAAAAAAACACACCGTGCAACGGCGGGGATTCCAGCAAAGCGATCAAACGCGGTGAACAATGGCTCTAAACGAGCGTGTAATGGGGGCTCCTGGTTTTACAGCGTCCGTCGAAGGAACGAGGAGGCGTAAACTTTTTCTCTTCTTCGCCGAAGCTCGTCGTTCAGGCAAAGCCGCTGGAAGGCGCGACACAAAGCGGCTCTTAGCCCACGCTGCTGACGGCGGACATGGCCCCGGACTCAGCGCTGCTCCAGCACCACCAAAACTTTCCTCCTCGTCCTCATGCGTCTCTCTCTCTCTCTCGCTCTGCGAGTCCTCTCCCTTTCTCTTTCTCCTGCTCTGTTTTTTTAAGATAGAGAAGCTGGGGGGATTTCAGTGGTTTCTTCCTGTTCAGCGTTTACGATGGAGGTCCATAAAAGCACGATAATTCCCTTTCTGAAGAGTGAAGAGAAAGAAAAGCCGGTGGTCGTGTTCTGTAGGCACTGAGCTGAGCGCGACTGAAGAAGAAGAAAAAACGGGCGCTGCTCTTCACTTCCCTCAGTCAGAGTCTCTCTCTCTCTCTTTCTCTCTCTCTCTCTCTCTCGGCTCCGCTCCGCCGTGACCTCAGGACGGAACCACGCCCATCTTGCGTTGCGTTCAGGCCAGATATGGAGCACAGGAAGCATTGGGCCGCGCGGAGGGGCGGGAGGGGGTCTCAACAGGCCGCGTGGTTAGAACCCGGTGCTGGTGGGGAATGTGGGGGCCCCGCACAGCTCCGAAACAATTACATTCCCTCTCTCTCTCCCTCTCCCTGTCTCTCTCTCTTTTACAGTAAACCATTTTTTTTGTGCAGGGAGAGAAAAACAGGGCATGTGGCTGAACATTTGAGGCCTCCAGAGAAAGCACTGATGTGGAAAGAAGAGGCTTGTAGAATTGATGTATATATTACATTTTTGGTTTTTAATCAAAGGCTTATTAAAAAACTGTTGTGGTGTTTCTGACATGAGGTCATACGCCCAAGAAAGACTTGATGTTTATCAACCTTTTTCGGGGTCATGAAACAGGCATATGGTTGCACGTTGAGATCTCCCAAGAAAGCCTTGATGTAGACACAAAAAAGTCCTACTTAAATATGACTATCATTTTGGAAGATTTGTGCAAACCTCAATTCTAGAAAAGTTGAGACAGTTTATGAAATGCTAAAGAAAAACTGAGAGCAGTGGTTTGTAAATTCAATTAAAAAAAGATCCAACAGTTTAAGATCATTCCTCAATGAGAGATTTGAAGGATTTTAGGTTTTTCACCCTCTACAGTGCGTCTGTGATGGATATCACCACATGGTCTCTTGGATACTTTGAAAAACTGTTGTCAATAAACATTGTTCATTGCCGTATCCACAGATACAGGTTAAGACTGTACCATGCACAGAGGAAGCCATATGACAACAACGTCCAAACATGCTGCATGTTGCACAGCAGAAACATGTACTGTTGTCTGCCAGATCAACCTTTCGGATTGTTTGTGGAAATAAAGGACGTTGTGTTCTCTGGGCCAAAGAAGAAAACAATCATCCAGATTGTTACCAGCATAAGGTTTAAAAGCCAGGGTCTGTCATAGTATTCAATTACATTTCCAAGAGAAAAAAATGCATCTTTTTTTACCTAAATTGTCATTTAGACCTTCAAAGTACAAAGCCAGGAGATTTTTCTCTTTTTTCTTGCCAATCAGTCAACTTACTGAGCATTTTTGTTTTTTTTTTTTCTATTAAGACAGCTAACCAATTTCATATCAGTGTAAAATGAAACTGCCTACAGCTATGCTAATTTATTCTGATTGGTGAGGGACGTTATTCTCACCAATCAAGCGGATATGGGTTGTCCCACCCACATAGCTTTAACAAAACCGTGTCCCCTAATAGTCTCTTTCTCTCTGTTCAGTTTGGAGAAACTTGAGTTTTGGAGGTTTAATATAACGCTCCAATTGTAATATCATACAAACCTTTTTAATATTTTACACGGTGTCCCCTGGGACTTTAAGTACAGTTTCTCTGTGCTTTTCCACCCCAGTATATTCCTATATTAGCGAATATTTAATATTTATGTCATGTTATGTACAAATTTGTAATCTGCAGCCTAACTAAGCCCAGGCTGGGAGCAGCACCGTCTGGGGCAGTAGGGATTTGAATGCCTTGCCCAAAGACACAACCAGGTATACCCAGTCAGTCCTGGGACTTGAACCCATGACCTTCCGGTTGCTGGCTCATCTTTCCTATCAGGCTCAAAGCCTAATGCAATCTTATATAACTACTGTTTGAGGTCACACTCCTAAGAAAGGCTTGATGTACATCACCATTTCAAGGCAAGTGAAATATTATCATATTATGCTATCACTGCATTGTATAACAGGCATGGATATATAAATATATTGGTTTTTAATCAAAGACTAAAGCAAGCTGGGTGTCTAGGTTATTACAGGATGTCTATCATGAAGACATGCTGTTTCAGATTTTTATAGCATAAAAGGAGAGGGAAAAAAACACAATTGCCTGTGAGAGTCCAGGCAAAGCTCAATACGGCACATTAGCCCAGACAGTGTTAAGGGATTCCATATGATATTGGGTTCGTGCATGGTCTCATTGATCTCTCCTCCCCACTCGGCTCCTCTCAGTTACCCCCTGAAGCGCTATCAGATGTAATAATCCTGCAGGTGTTGAGTGATACACAGGGGTGTGAGCCAAAAACACAGTCCTCTTGTTGCCTTAAGAAACCATTAGCACAGACATCTCAGGAGAAATCAGATACCTTTGGATTGTATGTGCTGTACTTTCTTCCCCCCCCTTTGCTGACTGCCACAGTGTCTTGCTCCTGGCTGGAAGCCAGATAGCAGTGGCCTTTGAACTAGCTGGCCGTGTGTGCCAATGTCAGATGTGGTCTCTGTTGCTGCGGTCCTGACTGCGGCATTGTTCTTGGCTGTCGGCTCGTTGAGCCAGGTGTGTGATAGCTGGCAGAACAGCATTGTTTAGTGCCCGTAATCATTTTGTCCATGCAGGACTCGCTTGTCCTCTAGAATCGAGGAACCAGGAGCATCGCGACTGATGTGGAGATGCAGTTTTATGGATCAATAAAGCACAATCTTGGTTGCGTCCACCTCCAAATTCGCTGTCACCTATCACATATTTGACAGGTGCTGGAGATCTCATCACAGGCCTCAGAGATTGCACAGAGCATTTGGATACAAACCTCATAAAGACGAACACCAAAATTGTTGACAATGTCTCCCGCCAAAAAAAAATATATATATATAGTTTCATCACATTCCCTCGTGTTCTATTGCTTGATTGCTGTTACTTAGCAACTGGCAGTCAGTGCTGTTATCAGTTATAATAGCATTAATAGAACAAAATTCAGCTGCTGTATAATATTCAGTAGCTATTTAGAAAACAATGCTCAATGACTGTGTTATTATTTAAGCTACATCCCAGCCAAAATTAAACAAATTAACCAGGACTTTTTGGGGTGGACTTTGGGGGGTGGGCTCTTTGAACTTTTTTTTCCACAAGCTGGTGAATGCAGATAGCTTACATTACTTCCAAGATGCTGGATATGCTATCACAAGCATATAACTGTGGCAACTGTCTTCAAATCATGATTACAATGGAGAAAATGGATTGCTCATCAAATTCAACAAGCTGTAAGCTAAAGTTAGCAAGGTAACTGGGTATCTAGATATCCTACAAATCGACTTCTTTTCTATGCTGTCTATTATGAGCTAAATACAGATAACTCTTTTCTTTACGATTTAGTCTGACGACCAAAGTTAGAGTTACAGAGATGCTACCTTGGTTATATTTATTGAACTATCGATCCGTGGCTAGACTTGCAGTTAGAATTGGTTGACACCACAGGGATTCCCAATGGTTCGCATAATCCATGCTGGGTATTGCAGTGAGAGAATACTGATGAACGAAAGCCCTTTTGAAAAATCTTGAATTCTGTCAAACCAGTGAGACTAAATACAGAATACTGCACAACATAACATATTAAAGTCTAGTTACAGGCCAGAATGCTCCTTTAAGTTATAAGAATAAGGACATCTGACACCCATGAAGGGCCACTTTATTATACTTAATTACAAGATGATCCTCAACTGACTAAGCAGGTAGTAAAGTAAAGAGAGCAAGTGCTCAAAATGACCCAGAGTTACGCTTTTCCTTTATGATGACAGACCTTTTAGAGAGACACTCCTGTAAAATGGCATCACTGTCCAGAGAAAAACATACATTTCCAAAATAGTAACTTTGCAAGAGAAGGCAAAAACATTCTTAACTTTTAATGTAAGTTTATGTAAAGAGGATTTATTCCAAGTGATTTTGGATCATTTTTATTGCTCCATTTATCATGATTTTTTTCACAAATATAAACAACATCTGTTCAAATGAAAAAAATAGACAAAAAAAAACAAACCAAAAAAAGTGAACAGTGGCAATATTTTTTTTGTTTTCAGAGACCTTTCTAAGACAAAGGCCCTGACTTTGTCAATAGGAGTTAACTGGAGCGATGTTCTGTGTCACTTTAATTTGGATGAGTCTAATTGCGTAATGATGTTAGGCGCTGGCTAATTGAACACCCACTGTTCCAGCACCACTGTGTTTGTTGTGATAGTTACTGGGGAGAAAGCCACAGGTGCTCCTGCGCCCTATTGAATTAGCTCTGGTGAGCCAGGTCTTATCAGGCATCTGACTGCAGCAGGAATACGACCCTTGCAAGTCCTCTCTTGAAACAGAAAAACATTATGAACGCCAAGGACCAGGAGGAATGTTTTTCCAGCTGAAGATTCCTTGCTCAATCACAACAATCTCACTCATCAGCCCTCATGCATTGTGTTCAAATGGAGGTAGAGTTGGCTAAATGTTTTTGGAGAACATTCTGGATATTTAGGCATATTTAGCTGTTAAACTAGCCCTTTCATTTAGGGCAGTCCCTTCACACCTCCAGTTATCAACCTTTCAAACATGCCGCCCCTAGCGAGGAGCAAGATTAGATTTTATGCTAAAATGGCCAGCATTGCTGAAATCCCAGCACGCACTTCCACGGTCAGGGCCCTCGTTCTGAATCATTTCTATTATGTTGTGATGGCGCGGCGTGGAGGCGCTGACACGTTTACCCGTCCGACCTGTCGCGATGAAATCAAGCGCCACTGAGTGCCATCGCTTGGCGACAATGCGCGAAAGTGCGCCTGCTGTGATTCAGACATCTCTCATCTGCTGTTTTTTCCACCCGAAACATGAAGAATGCGCAGCTCTCCCCAGCAGACGCTAGCACGCGGACTTGCCGCTTACTCAGTCACATTCAGTAATCATTAAGTGCTGTTGCCTTTCTTTTCTCGGTGTCATCATGTTTTGCAGGCCGCTGATTGACAGCTGGCCATTGTGGAGCGGACAATGTCCTAGACAGCACATTCTTTTATCTTTCAGAGGCGATCCTGAGATGCATTGTGCCCTATGGAAATGGTAATCTCTGTGGCATCTCCTTTTGTGGGTGCTTCTGTACTTAAGCAGGGTGATTTGATATTATCT